TGCAAGACCTAAAAAAAACTAAGCAAAGACTGCAAATTTAAGTCCGTGAAAGTTGAAGAAAACCGAGATGATTATATACGAGATGCATTTATAAGTGGATTAAATTCGCAACACATTCGTCAGCGTCTTCTGGAAAATTCAACTCTGACCCTGGACGTTGCCGTTTCTCAGGCTTTGTCTTTAGAAACTGCTCAAAAAAATGCAGAAGCATACATCGATCCCGACCACTTCGGAAATTCATTAACAGTAAACCATGACAAGCAAAATGATGATTCTAATCCCTCACCATGTCAGTCTTGTAATGCTGTCTCAAATGTTGGACCAAAATGCTATTTTTGCGGTAACAAGAGACATCCTCGTACTAACTGCCCGGCTAAAAATGTCATTTGCAAGGAATGTAATAAATCTGGTCATTTTACAAAAGTATGTCAAAGTAAGAAATTTAAAGTAAAAACTACTACTGCCTGTATTCAAAATGAACCCAATCAATTACTAGCGGCAGCTCCGAGATGCTTGTCTAAATCTCTTATTAAAATTAAAGTCAATAATAATGATGCAGACGCCTTAATAGATACGGGAAGTTCAGAATCATACATTGATAAAAATTTTATGAAGACTCTTCTTGTTACGGTGCACCCTAGTTCCGATCTAATATCCATGGCTTCAACTTCACTTCAATCTCAAACCAGAGGCTACTGTTTCATAGATTTAGAGATTGCAGGTCACCACTATCGCAAAACGAAGATGACAATTCTTTCACAACTATGTGCTGATATTATTATTGGTCACGATATCCTCAAACAGCACTCTTTCTTAGAAGTTCGATTTGATGGACCAAAGTCTCCTCTGAATATATGTAGTCTAACTTGTGCTAATATAGACCCTCCAAGTCTATTTTCAAATCTATCGGTCGATTGTAAGCCTATTACTACTAAATCATGCAAACAAACGTTTAGAGATGCGCAGTTTATATCTCAGGAGATTAAGAAACCACTTCTTGAAGGAATAATTGAGAAAAGTCAATCACCTTGGCGAGCTCAAGTTTTGGTGACCCAAACTGACCATCATAAAAAAAGAATGGTAATAGACTATTCTCAGACAATAAATCGTTTCAAGTATCTTGATGCATACCCGTTACCAAATATCGAGAAAATAGTTTTGGAAGTATCTAAATTTAATATATTTAGTAAAATTGATTTACGTAGTGCATATCACCAAATTCCCATACGAGACGATGAAAAGGAATATACTGCGTTCGAAGCGGAAGGACAGCTGTATCACTTTTGTCGAATTCCTTTTGGAGTAACGAATAGAGTTGCTGTTTTTCAACGAGTTTTGGATAATATTATAGCTACAGAAAAATTGAAAGGAGTGTTTGCATATCTCGATGATATCACAGTATGTGGTAACACCCGTGCTGAACATGATAGGAATCTTGAAAGTCTGTTGAATGCAATTTCAAAATATAATCTTACTATTAACGAGGAAAAATGTACCTTCTCAAAAGAATCTATTAACTTACTTGGTTACCATATTCAGAACCACACCCTTAGACCAGATCCTTCTAGGTTAGAATCTTTAATAAAATTTCCTCTTCCTGACAATATTTCTTCTTTAAGACGAAGCTTAGGTATGTTTGCCCATTATTCTAGGTGGGTACCAAGTTTTTCAGAGAAAATCTATCGTCTTGCACACTCAAAATCTTTTCCGTTATCATCCTCAGCAGAATCCGATTTTGAAGCTCTTAAAAATGAAATTGCTAAATCCGTAGTAACAACTATTCACAGCAATATACCATTCGTTGTAGAAACCGATGCTTCAGAACACTCAATAGCAGCTATCCTCAGTCAAGAAGGCCGACCTGTAGCATTCTTTTCAAGAACTTTGACCAAGAGTGAACAACACCATTCATCCATAGAAAAGGAAGCTTACGCAATTGTTGAAGCACTCAAAAGATGGCGCCATTTCTTAATTGGTACTCATTTTAAGCTATACACAGATCAAAAATCTGTTTCTTTTATGTTTAATCAAAGACATAAAAGTAAGATTAAAAATGAGAAGATACTCAGGTGGAGGCTAGAACTGGCTTGTTATAGTTTCGACATAATATACCGAAGAGGAGTGGAGAATGTCGTCTCTGATGCCTTGAGTAGAGTGACTAGTTCTACTAACAATCAAACATCTCTGTTCCATCTTCATCAAGCACTTTGTCACCCAGGAGTTACAAGAATGGCCCACTGGGTGCGTTCCAGAAATATTCCATATTCGCTAGAGGAAATCCGGAAAGTGACATCAACTTGTCCAGTATGCGCGGAGCTTAAACCAAAGTTTGTAAAGTATAATGAAGGGACCCTTATTAAAGCGACTCAACCGTTTGAGAGGATAAACATTGATTTTAAGGGGCCAATTCCAACCACAGGTCGTAATAAGTATATTTTGACAATTGTTGACGAATTCTCACGATTCCCCTTTGCGTATCCTTGTCCAGATACTTCCTCCTCGTCAGTCATTAAATGCTTTACTAACTTATTCTCAATTTTTGGCATGCCATCTTATATACATTCTGATCAAGGAGCTGCATTCATGTCACAAGAGTTGAAATCATACTTACATTCTAATGGAATAGCAACAAGTCGATCTTCACCTTACAACCCTCAAGGGAATGGCTTGGTTGAGAGGTATAATGGAATAATTTGGAAAGCAATTACACTAGCTCTTAAGAGCAGACAACTAAGATCTTCACAGTGGGAACTAGTAATAGAAGAAGCATTACATTCTATAAGATCGTTGCTGTGTACGGCGACGAATTACACTTCACATGAACGTATGTTCCGGCATTGTAGTTTTCCTAAAGAAATTTAATAGACAAAGTAAATATGAACCTTTGGTTGAAGAGGTGCATTTGCTCGAGGCAAATCCTGAATATGCCACAATACGACACTTTGATGGACGAGAATCTTTAGTCTCTCTAAGACATTTAGCCCCAAGAGGTGATATGAATCTTTTGGATGAATGCGACAATAATCTAACACACCGGGAACAACCAGAAGATAAATCAGACTCTAACACACTTCTGCAATCTGTAGATGAGCGTGGTGAAGGTGATTTTGATAGCTCTGAATTAGATCACACCACAGTATCAAATGACGACGTTATCACAGAAGAACAAACAACTAAAGAAACTAAAGAAGACGCAACGCTACCGATCCAACCAACAGGGATAGTTAACGACGAACGCCGCCCGACTCGAACAAGACAGAAACCCAAATACCTGAAAGATTACGTTTAAATCTACAGGGGGTGAATGTAATATAAATACGTTACTATTGATACCTATACATGTTTGAAGTATTTACCCTATATTTAGTTGTTATTATTTATTTAGTTGTCACTTAATTTTGTACAGTTTTAGTTAAATAAAACCTTAAGAAAGGTATAAGTTTCATTACATACACTAAAGCGTGTCCGGCAAAAATTGACTTTCTTTTGTTGTTCTCGAAGTATTCAAACCCTTCAATGACATCTATTTTTTTAATTATATTCGATAGTTTTCTTAATTGCCATCTCATCGAACAACAGAATACATTTTTTGTCCTCGTTTGTTATTGTCCTTGATTTAATTCAAATATTTTTAAATATCCAATGTCAGGGTTCATAAAATATCACGCAACTTCGTTTGTTTGTTCTTTTATATTATTCAGTTATTTTAAAAGCACAAACTCATAACCTTGCAAGAAGTTAAGATTTTAACTAAAAAGAATTTGCATGCCTCATCCCAGTCTGTTTATAAGATCGTTAAAGTAAAAAAGAGAAAACTTGTAATATATATCCATAATACCATAAAAAGAACATTATATTAAGCCGATTGATACTACATCACTCAGCTCATGGCCAATCATCCATATTCCACACCACAATACGTTACATGCGAACTCGTATCATATAATATATCTCAAAGTTAACAAAAAAAAAAAATATGATTACTTCATTCAACGGCAGCAACATAAAATCCGGATCAATCAAAGCCGGAGAGTAACAACACACAACGGTTCTGTTTACTCAGTTAATTTATAAAATATTAAGATCTTTTTGAGTTTCAACTAGTACAGACCGAAATAATTTTAAATTTCATTCTCCTAAACTTATAGCGTAAGTTACGAATAAAAGCATTCGTAAGTATTATAAAAATCCTACGCGCGTGTACTTTTAGATTGATGTACTTCTCTCTAAAAGTACACGCGCGTGGAAGCATATTGTTATAACGTAAAAAAAAACATAACAACAAACAAAATTTTGAAAATTTATTTAGATAATTTTGTTTATTATAGTTTGAATAATCGGTAAAAAATTTAAAATTATAGCATTTTAAATTTTAAGGTATATTATTTAATTCAAGAAAATTAGAATTTTCGTCAATTTTGGATTTTAAAAAATTAATAACAATTAAAGGGTTGAAGACACGATGATGGGCGTAGGGACTTTTTTTACTCGAAATATCCTAAAGAATATAAAAAAAATTAATTCATTGCAAAAAATGCATTTTTTTCTGGCTTAATTAATTTTTCGTTGTTTAAACAATAACATCAACAAATATTGAGTGTCATCTTACACTTTTATAATCAGGAAAGCTTTCCGGACATTAAAAAAAAATACGAATTAAAACAATTTTGCAAACGAATGCGCCACTATGCCCTGCACTAATAATGTTATATTTCTATTTTTATTTTAATAAACTTTATATTTTTTTTTTTTGACGATTGACGAAACAGGCCATTTTTTCAAAAAAGTATGCTAACCCGGGGCAAGTGCCCACTTATTCTCTTTGCACATAAAAAAATATGCCGCCCCTGGTTGTCCGACCTCTGAGCGAGCCCTGAAAGTTTTTTATTTTACCACCACTATATATGGGCTATTTTGAAGCAACTTGTTGCCCGCCACTTATAGTTAACATATCTCCATTTTCCAATGAAACATTAACAGTATTATATATTATATTTAAGGAAGTGAAGCCTCAAAGAGTCCCAGCACCAAGCGGTATGGGTATGATAGACGATTATTGGGGTCCTTCATTAAAACTGCTAAGTGATATCAGATTTTTGGAAAACCTAATGAATTTTGATAAGGATAATATACCTACAAAAGTTATGGATAAGCTCAGGCATCAAATTTTGAACGATGAGAATTTCGATCCTGATAAGATCAAGACTGCTTCTACTGCGGCTGAAGGTGCGTCGTAAAAGTAAAAAATACAGGGTACCACATAATCATTAAACAGTACAACGCGATCAAATATTAATGTTAGAACGTTTTAACTTTTTATAGGTTTGTGCAAGTGGGTAATTGCCATAGCTAAATACGACAGGGTAGCTAAAATCGTAGCGCCGAAACAAGCAGCGCTGGCTGTAGCCGAAGGAATGCTGGCGACAGCAATGGGTGATCTAGAAGTCAAAAGAGCTGAATTGCGTGCGGCCAAAGACAAGGTCGCTCGATTAGAGGCGGCTTTGGAAGCCGCGAAACAAAAGTACAAGGATTTACAGGATGACGTAAACATGTGTATGATGAAAAAACAAAGAGCTGAAGAACTCATTGGAGGCTTGGGAGGAGAGAAAGACAGATGGGTACAGATAGCTTACGACTTGGGGCAAATATATTTAATTTTAACAGGTATGAATATTATTTCCAAATAATAACTCTACAATACATTTTTGTTTATCTTATAAATCCTACCATTGATTTTTGTGAGAGGTGAATCTTTTTTGTTTGGGGTAGTCTAAATTTAGTATTAGCAGTCATATCAAAAACATAAAAGTAAATTATTGTCTTTTTAAGATAAAAATTGTGTTGAAATTTTTTTAGGCGATGTTCTGCTAGCCGCTGGTGTAGTTGCCTATCTAGGACCATTTACAATGGTATTTAGAAATAAGCAAACTAAGAGATGGATCAAAAGTTTGACAGAATCTGGCGTGTTTTGCAGTCAAGAATTCCAGTTGACCTCAGTATTGGGAGATCCTGTAGTAATCAGATCGTGGAGTATTTTCGGTTTGCCGTCTGATAATTTCAGCGTTGATAATGGCATTATTATTTCGTAAGTACCAACATTTTCACCAGAAATACTTGATATAATACTTATGCTGTATACAGGGTGTTTCAAAAGAGTATGTCATAAATTCATCCTCAGATTACCAAAAAATAAGTGGATTTGGCTATATTTACCTATATAAAAAACTGGATCCCAACAAAGTTACAGGGTGTTAAACTAACATTTAGAAAAACGTTTTTTTTTTATAAAAACTTTACTGTTTTTTTTTTTGGAAATTTTAACCAGTGCTGTTGATTTGAAGGTTCAATATTCTAAGAAGAAGAAAAATTTACAGCGACCTTTTAAAAAAAAAATTGGAGGGTTGGGTGCTTTTTAACCCCCGTGTATTTTTTTTTTACATAAAGAAACTTGCTTTATCGATCTTAAAATCAAAAAGAACTATGAATTTTTAAAATTTTTATAGCGAAATGAACTTTGTATCTTTCCTATTTACAATTTTTTAACTGAATTTCTAGAGCAATTTGTCCGTCCTGGACTTAACATATCAACAAAACTAAAAGTAGGTCAGGAGTTGTTGTACAAAAAACGCATATAAAAATCAGTGGTGTGTCTAGGGCTGTGCTTGAACCGCCCCTGCAAAAACTACCTCTTTTATTTATATTTTTGTATTCAAGAAGGAGAAGGACATGAATTGAATATTTACTAATTTAAATAGTTTATAAAATATGTGTAATAATTATTACCAAATGTTTATTTAAAAAATACCTTTTTTATTTACTATTAAATTTAATAAATACATTTCCCAACTAATGTGTATTTTTATCAGTGGAATGGTGAACCCATGAGGACGGGTGACACCATTTTTATGGTTTTTTCAGTTTTTTCAGTTTTTTAGTTTTTTCAGTTTCTGCGGTTTCTTCGGTTTCTTAGGTTTCTTCGGTTTCTTCGGTTTCTTAGGTTTCTTCGGTTTCTTCGGTTTCTTCGGTTTCTTCGGTTTCTTCGGTTTCTTCGGTTTCTTCGGTTTCTTCGGTTTCTTCGGTTTCTTCGGTTTCTTCGGTTTCTTCGGTTTCTTCGGTTTCTTCGGTTTCTTCGGTTTCTTCGGTTTCTTCGGTTTCTTCGGTTTCTTCGGTTTCTTCGGTTTCTTCGGTTTCTTCGGTTTCTTCGGTTTCTTCGGTTTCTTCGGTTTCTTCGGTTTCTTCGGTTTCTTCGGTTTCTTCGGTTTCTTCGGTTTCTTCGGTTTCTTCGGTTTCTTCGGTTTCTTCGGTTTCTTCGGTTTCTTCGGTTTCTTCGGTTTCTTCGGTTTCTTCGGTTTCTTCGGTTTCTTCGGTTTCTTCGGTTTCTTCGGTTTCTTCGGTTTCTTCGGTTTCTTCGGTTTCTTCGGTTTCTTCGGTTTCTTCGGTTTCTTCGGTTTCTTCGGTTTCTTCGGTTTCTTCGGTTTCTTCGGTTTCTTCGGTTTCTTCGGTTTCTTCGGTTTCTTCGGTTTCTTCGGTTTCTTCGGTTTCTTCGGTTTCTTCGGTTTCTTCGGTTTCTTCGGTTTCTTCGGTTTCTTCGGTTTCTTCGGTTTCTTCGGTTTCTTCGGTTTCTTCGGTTTCTTCGGTTTCTTCGGTTTCTTCGGTTTCTTCGGTTTCTTCGGTTTCTTCGGTTTCTTCGGTTTCTTCGGTTTCTTCGGTTTCTTCGGTTTCTTCGGTTTCTTCGGTTTCTTCGGTTTCTTCGGTTTCTTCGGTTTCTTCGGTTTCTTCGGTTTCTTCGGTTTCTTCGGTTTCTTCGGTTTCTTCGGTTTCTTCGGTTTCTTCGGTTTCTTCGGTTTCTTCGGTTTCTTCGGTTTCTTCGGTTTCTTCGGTTTCTTCGGTTTCTTCGGTTTCTTCAGGTTTCTTCGGTTTCTTCAGTTTCTTCGGTTTCTTCAGTTTCTTCAGTTTCTTCAGTTTCTTCAGTTTCTTCAGTTTCTTCAGTTTCTTCAGTTTCTTCAGTTTCTTCAGTTTCTTCAGTTTCTTCAGTTTCTTCAGTTTCTTCAGTTTCTTCAGTTTCTTCAGTTTCTTCAGTTTCTTCAGTTTCTTCAGTTTCTTCAGTTTCTTCAGTTTCTTCAGTTTCTTCAGTTTCTTCAGTTTCTTCAGTTTCTTCAGTTTCTTCAGTTTCTTCAGTTTCTTCAGTTTCTTCAGTTTCTTCAGTTTCTTCAGTTTCTTCAGTTTCTTCAGTTTCTTCAGTTTCTTCAGTTTCTTCAGTTTCTTCAGTTTCTTCAGTTTCTTCAGTTTCTTCAGTTTCTTCAGTTTCTTCAGTTTCTTCAGTTTCTTCAGTTTCTTCAGTTTCTTCAGTTTCTTCAGTTTCTTCAGTTTCTTCAGTTTCTTCAGTTTCTTCAGTTTCTTCAGTTTCTTCAGTTTCTTCAGTTTCTTCAGTTTCTTCAGTTTCTTCAGTTTCTTCAGTTTCTTCAGTTTCTTCAGTTTCTTCAGTTTCTTCAGTTTCTTCAGTTTCTTCAGTTTCTTCAGTTTCTTCAGTTTCTTCAGTTTCTTCAGTTTCTTCAGTTTCTTCAGTTTCTTCAGTTTCTTCAGTTTCTTCAGTTTCTTCAGTTTCTTCAGTTTCTTCAGTTTCTTCAGTTTCTTCAGTTTCTTCAGTTTCTTCAGTTTCTTCAGTTTCTTCAGTTTCTTCAGTTTCTTCAGTTTCTTCAGTTTCTTCAGTTTCTTCAGTTTCTTCAGTTTCTTCAGTTTCTTCAGTTTCTTCAGTTTCTTCAGTTTCTTCAGTTTCTTCAGTTTCTTCAGTTTCTTCAGTTTCTTCAGTTTCTTCAGTTTCTTCAGTTTCTTCAGTTTCTTCAGTTTCTTCAGTTTCTTCAGTTTCTTCAGTTTCTTCAGTTTCTTCAGTTTCTTCAGTTTCTTCAGTTTCTTCAGTTTCTTCAGTTTCTTCAGTTTCTTCAGTTTCTTCAGTTTCTTCAGTTTCTTCAGTTTCTTCAGTTTCTTCAGTTTCTTCAGTTTCTTCAGTTTCTTCAGTTTCTTCAGTTTCTTCAGTTTCTTCAGTTTCTTCAGTTTCTTCAGTTTCTTCAGTTTCTTCAGTTTCTTCAGTTTCTTCAGTTTCTTCAGTTTCTTCAGTTTCTTCAGTTTCTTCAGTTTCTTCAGTTTCTTCAGTTTCTTCAGTTTCTTCAGTTTCTTCAGTTTCTTCAGTTTCTTCAGTTTCTTCAGTTTCTTCAGTTTCTTCAGTTTCTTCAGTTTCTTCAGTTTCTTCAGTTTCTTCAGTTTCTTCAGTTTCTTCAGTTTCTTCAGTTTCTTCAGTTTCTTCAGTTTCTTCAGTTTCTTCAGTTTCTTCAGTTTCTTCAGTTTCTTCAGTTTCTTCAGTTTCTTCAGTTTCTTCAGTTTCTTCAGTTTCTTCAGTTTCTTCAGTTTCTTCAGTTTCTTCAGTTTCTTCAGTTTCTTCAGTTTCTTCAGTTTCTTCAGTTTCTTCAGTTTCTTCAGTTTCTTCAGTTTCTTCAGTTTCTTCAGTTTCTTCAGTTTCTTCAGTTTCTTCAGTTTCTTCAGTTTCTTCAGTTTCTTCAGTTTCTTCAGTTTCTTCAGTTTCTTCAGTTTCTTCAGTTTCTTCAGTTTCTTCAGTTTCTTCAGTTTCTTCAGTTTCTTCAGTTTCTTCAGTTTCTTCAGTTTCTTCAGTTTCTTCAGTTTCTTCAGTTTCTTCAGTTTCTTCAGTTTCTTCAGTTTCTTCAGTTTCTTCAGTTTCTTCAGTTTCTTCAGTTTCTTCAGTTTCTTCAGTTTCTTCAGTTTCTTCAGTTTCTTCAGTTTCTTCAGTTTCTTCAGTTTCTTCAGTTTCTTCAGTTTCTTCAGTTTCTTCAGTTTCTTCAGTTTCTTCAGTTTCTTCAGTTTTCTTCAGTTTCTTCAGTTTCTTCAGTTTCTTCAGTTTCTTCAGTTTCTTCAGTTTCTTCAGTTTCTTCAGTTTCTTCAGTTTCTTCAGTTTCTTCAGTTTCTTCAGTTTCTTCAGTTTCTTCAGTTTCTTCAGTTTCTTCAGTTTCTTCAGTTTCTTCAGTTTCTTCAGTTTCTTCAGTTTCTTCAGTTTCTTCAGTTTCTTCAGTTTCTTCAGTTTCTTCAGTTTCTTCAGTTTCTTCAGTTTCTTCAGTTTCTTCAGTTTCTTCAGTTTCTTCAGTTTCTTCAGTTTCTTCAGTTTCTTCAGTTTCTTCAGTTTCTTCAGTTTCTTCAGTTTCTTCAGTTTCTTCAGTTTCTTCAGTTTCTTCAGTTTCTTCAGTTTCTTCAGTTTCTTCAGTTTCTTCAGTTTCTTCAGTTTCTTCAGTTTCTTCAGTTTCTTCAGTTTCTTCAGTTTCTTCAGTTTCTTCAGTTTCTTCAGTTTCTTCAGTTTCTTTAGTTTCTACAATTTCTACAGTTTCTACAGTTTCTACAGTTTCTACAGTTTCTACAGTTTCTACAGTTTCTACAGTTTCTACAGTTTCTACAGTTTCTACAGTTTCTTCGGTTTCTTCAGTTTCTTCAGTTTCTTCAGTTTCTTCAGTTTCTTCAGTTTCTTCAGTTTCGTTTATTTTGTTTGTTAATTTTCTTCTGTTTCTCCCGTTTCTACCCTGAATTCCAGTTATTTCGTTTATTCCATATATTCCATTTTTTTATGCTGTTTTATACATTTAGTTTATTCCGTAAATTCCATTTATTTATTTCGTTTTTCTTTTTATGTATTTTATGTACTTATTCCATTTTTTCTATTTATTCCCTTTATTTCGTTTATTTCTTCTCTTTCGTTTCTTTTATTTCTTTATTTTCCTTTGTTTTTTCGTTTCTACCCTGTATTCCATTTACTCTGTTAATTGTATTTATCTATTACCTTTATTCCATTTATTTATTTAGTTTATTGCGTTTATTCAGTTTATTTATTTAGTTTGTTCATTTCCTTTATTTCGTTTATTTTCGTTATTCCTTATATTCCATTTATTTATTCTGTTTATTTCGTTTATTCTGTTAATTTCGTTTATTCCGTTATTCCGTTTACTCTGTTTACTCCGTTTATTCCGTTTTCTATTTCTTTCGTTTCTTTTCTTTCTTCCGTTTATTCCTTCAATTTCGTATCTTCCATTTTTTTATTTTCTTTTGTTTCTTTCGTTTCTACCCTGTATTCCAATTATTTCGTTATTTTCTTTAATCGTACGTTTATTCAGTTTATTCCATTTTTTTATTTAGTTTATTTCATTTATTTAATTTATTCCATTTATTTATTTCGTTTTTCCTTTTATTTATTCCATGTACTTAATTCGTTTTTTCTATTTCTTCCCTTTATTTCGTTTATTCCTTCTCTTTCGTTTCTTCCATTTTTTTCTTTTGTTTTTTCTGTTTTTACCCTTGTTATTCCAATTGTTCCGTTAATTGTATTTATCTATTAAGTTTATTCCCTTTATTTATTTAGTTTATTGCTTTTATTCAGTATATTCCATTTATTTATTTCGATTATATTATTTAGTTTATTCCATTTATTTTTTCCTTTATTCCGTTTATTTTCGTTATGCCTTGTATTCCATTTATTTATTCTGTTTATTTCATTTATTCTGTTAATTCCGTTTATTCCATTATTCCGTTTACTCTGTTTACTTCGTTTATTCCGTTTCTTTCGTCTATTCCTTCTCTTTCGTTTCTTCTATTTCTTTATTTTCTTCTGTTTCTTTCGTTTCTACCCTGATTCCATTTATTCTGTTAATTGTTTTAATCTTACGTTTATTCCATTTATTTATTTAGTTTATTCCGTTTATTTAGTTTATTCCATTTATTTATTCCGTTTTTTCTATTTCTTCCCTTTATTTTGTTTATTTCTCCTCTTTTGTTGCTTTCATTTATTTATTTTCTCTTTTGTTTCGTCCGTTTCTACCCTGTATTCCATTTATTCCCTTAATTGTATTTATTACGTTTATTTGGTTTATTCTATTTATTTATTTCATTTATTCCGTTTATTTATTATGTTTATTCTGTTAATTCCGTTTATTCCGTTTATTCAATTTGTGATATATTGCGATGTAATTAAATCGTACTTTTTTTTAACAAATTGAAGAACCGTACCACTAAAGTTATTAATAATTTTAGAAATGCTCGACGATATGCACTCCTTATCGATCCGCAGGGCCAGGCCAATAAGTGGATTAAAAATATGGAAAAAGCAAATAATTTGGCTATAATTCGACTTAACCAAGCAGATTATGTGAGGATACTAGAAAATGCTATACAGTTTGGACAACCGGTAATTTCAACGTCTTAATTTAAATACATAATTTATAAGTCTTATGTGGTGTTTGTAATCAAAATAAAAATTTAAAAATGTTTTTTTATCTAACTTCTGAGATTTTTACACACAATATAAATATCAAATGTTGACTTATGGTTTTTTTGAAATTAGTTTTTAGAAAACAAAGGTGAAGCATGTAAGCAATGATGCCAAGTTTACTGTCATAACTTGGCATCATAGTTGTATAGTTTAAATGCGTTTTTAGCCTGATTTTTGGATTTTTTGCTTTAAAATCGTATTATAATGAAGGCCTTAAGGTGATATACCTAATACTCTATAAAATTAAATAAAATATTATTAATTCCATACTTGAAACGCTGCTTTTTTTGTGTACATAATGTAATAAAAAATACATCGTCAAAGAGCTATGACGAATGTTTCAATATATTTAAATAATATCAATTGTAGGTGATAGATACTTTTCCTTTATATTTTTAACCGACTTCAAAAAAGGAGGAGGTTATCAATTCGTCGCGATATTTTTTTTTTTTTTTATGTATGTTCAGCGATTATTCTTTAACACGGTGTCCGATTTCAATGATTCTTTTTTTGTTAGAAAGGGGGTACTTCAGGGGTGGTCCCATATAAATTTGGTCAAAACTGGGTCCATGAGAAATTCCTCAAATTCTTCATTTTTACTTTCCTATCTGTATACAGATATAAGGAAAGTATAGGAATCATGATTTTTTTCGACCTCGAGTTTTCGACGGATTTTTACGTTTTGAGGTCCCCTGAATCCGTTTTGACTATTTTCGCGATGATGTCTGTGTGTGTGTGTGTGTGTGTGTCTGTGTGTGTGTGTGTGTGTGTGTGTGTGTGTGTGTGTGTGTGTGTGTGTGTGTGTGTGTGTGTGTGTGTGTGTGTGTGTGTGTCTGTATAACGCATAACTCATGAACCGATACACAGAAAAACACCAAATTTTAAACTTAAGCTTTGTTTCAGCGTCCAATAAGCTGATTAGATTTTGGGCAGTGTCGGAACATCTGGGGGGGTACTTTATAGGTGGTCATTTTTATATTTTATGGAATATATCTGTTATTTACGTTTGGAGAAGAAAATTCTTTAAATAAAAGTTACTTCTAATATAATTATCTATAATTTTTGTTTTATGCAAAATTTTCCTAAAATGGTCCGTATTCGAGAAATTTGACAAAATGTAAAAAATATAATTTTTTATAAAAATTGTTCAAATAAAAGTTGTTTATAATATAATTCTCTATAATTTTGGTCCTATACATAATTTCTCTAAAATGGACCGTATTCGAGATATTTGAGAAAATGTGTAAATTTCGAAATTTGAAGAAAACTCAAAAACGGATAAAGGAAAAAACATTAAATTTTAAACTTAAGGTTTATTTCGGCCTGACGTGAAATGATTAGATTTTGGACAAAGTTGGAACATCTGGGGGGTACTTTATGGGAGGCCGTTTTTATATTTTATGGAATATATCTGTTATTTATGTTTGGAGAAGAAAATTGTTCAAATAAAAGTTACTTCTAATATTATTATCTATAATTTTTGTTTTATGTCAAAATTTCCTGAAATGGTCCGTATTCGAGAAATTTGACAAAATGTGCAAAATTCTGATTTTTATGAAAATTGTTGAACTAAAAGTTGTTTGCGATATCGATTTCTATAATTTTTGTTTATACATGATTTTTCTAAAATGGTCCGTAATGGAAAAGTGCTAAATTTAAATTTTTCTGTATTTTCGTTTTCAATGAATATCTATAGAAAAATGTTTCGAGGTAGATGTATGTGTAAAATGTATATATTTAGTTTATCCTCTAAACATTTATAGAGATGCTGCAATAGGTTGTACAAAATAACCGGAAAATGCCTATAATAACTAGATAGGAAAGTCATGTGTTGGACACATCAGATTTTTCATGTATGTTTAGCGATAATGCTTTACGACCTTGTCCTATTTATATGATTCTCTTTTTTGTTAGTAATGGGGTACCTCAAGAATGGCCACATATAAATTTGGATAAGGTGTGCTGACGGCATCTGCACGTTTTTGAAGTCGGTTTTTTTAAATTTTTAATTTAGATCACTTGTTTAACACATTCTTCTACTATAGCAAACTGTTAAGAGAGAATAAAATCCCGGCATCACTTAACTTCGTCTAATCTTGTAGATCTATATTAAAATTTTTACAACACATCACTAAACTATATTTACAGTCTTAGTCAAGCATTGTTCCAAAGAAAATTAACCACAGCTCTGTCAATGTGTAATTTCTAATTTGTATTATAACAAAGTTAACCATTGCGACCTGACGCTTATTTAAGAAAAGCAGGTGAAAAATAAATTAAGTACATGTTGCAATGTATTTTGTTGTTTTAATTTAAATACGAGTATATGTTTTTAACAGCAGTATTGTAAAAATATTTGTAATTTATTTACTATTGTCTAGTCCCTTTTTTTTAATGTTTTATTTGTAAATTTTTAGGTTCTCTTGGAAAACATAGGTGAAGAGGTGGATCCGGTATTAGAACCCGTTTTAGGCCAGCAGACATTTAAGCAGGGTGGGGCTTTGTATCTCAAACTAGGAGACTCGATTGTTGAATACTGTGCTCAATTTAAGTGAGTTAAGTTAAATTTAATATTGACATTTTGAAATTATTTTTGGATACTTAGGGAGGTATAATAGATAGACATGTTGTAGGAAGATTCCTTTCATTGAATGATCAACAATGATTCAGCAAACCAATTGTAGAAAACGCTTACTGTTTAATTAAAACGATCATGCTCACATGTTTTACTTACATAACTTTACAGTTTTTTATTCCGCTAGAGGGCGTTAAAATTAAAAATGACGCAATGAATAATCATATTGCTGGTATTCTCCATAAAATTACCTTTTCTTTTCTTTCTTTTTTTTAAATTTCTATTTGTTTAATCATGTTTTATTAATTTTTAGGTTATATTTAACGACTAAACTAAGAAATCCCCATTACCTTCCGGAAATAGCTGTGAAAGTAACTTTAGTGAATTTTATGATCACCAAAGTAGGTCTACAAGACCAAATTTTGGGCATAACTGTAGCCAAAGAAAGACCTGACTTAGAAGCAGAAAAGAACAATCTTATTTTACAAGGAGCAGAAAATAAAAGGTAATAACTAGAGGGCGGAATATATGCATCAAAATATAACAAAATATGCGCATATATATATGCATCGTTTTTACCAAAAATATGCAGTTATTTTGTCCAATTATGCCTAAACATGCAAATGCATATTTGTTAAAAATACTTAAAAAAAAGTAGGGGGTGGGTAGCTCAGTGGTTAGTGCGTTGGCCTGTGGACTTAGGGGTTCCGGGTTCAAATTCCAGCCGGGACGCGATTTTTTAAATTAATTAATTTATTTAAAAATTAATTCTGATGCCTAGCGAATATTTCCACTTGACCATTCACTGTTCCTAATTTGTTACGCTATCAAAGCCATTACACGAAAAAAAAACAAGAAAATATGTAATATAAAAATTTATTTAAAACAAACGAAACACAAAAACTAGTAGAAGTTAAATATAGAATAGTATAAAAATATTAAATAGTAATATTATAATAGGAATTTATAATTAAATATTTTTCGAAATTTTCTATTAAAAATTTTTGTCTTCTGTCTGTAAAAATATGTTTTGATATAGAAAAGGTCCTTTCAACATCTACCGAAGTAATAGGCCAATACCGTAATTTTGGAAGTAATGTACAGGGCCAACGTAAAACTTCTTTGGAAAATTTTCCCTTAAAAATGTTTTTCACTTCCCTTATTTCATTAAACCCTTCATTATTTAATAAAGTTGTATTTACTTTTTTTCTAATCTTAAGGCCTATGTCACCAGGAACATTGTTACATTTATCGGAAACTGTTGCAACAAAATTTGTTGATTCGATTAAACTTAAATTTTTCTTTTCCAATGAAGTTATTACATCAGGTAAAAAACTAAAATTCACTTTTATAAACATAAGTTGCTTAGGCACAAGGGGATTTTTTAACAATTCTTTACTTTGCACTACACATTGTGAATTGTCTTCTATATCCAAAATTAAATCCTTAATTGCTTCAAAATTTTCTGCATAGAATATAGTTGCTTTAATCCATGTCCCCCATCGCGTAATTACGGGTTCCGGGGGCAAACACACCCCTACCATTCTCTCTTTATACAACTGCACTCTTAAAGGGGCTTTTAAAAATATTTTTTTCACATTCGAAATTAGCTTGTTAACCAAGGGATATTCTGTTCTCACAGTTTCTGCAACTAAGTTTATTCCATGCAGAAGACAAGTAACGTGGACTATATTTAGATAAAATATTTTTAAGTTTTGCCCTACTTTTATCATATATGGTACTGCGTCGGACAAAAACACTAAGAACTTCTCTGAGGGAATTTGATTTGGTAAAAAAAATTCTGCTAGAGATTGTTGAATAAATCGGGTAACAGTTGTATTGTTAGTTTTTTCTAATTGTTTTGATGCAATTAAATATGATGTACCTGGTTCATTTTCTTTTAAGGCTCCAATCATAAGATGTACCATATATCTTCCACAAGCATCTGTGCTTTTATCAACAATGATGTAAAAATTGCTATCATCCAGTAAAACTTTAATTTATTCTATTACATTTATATATATAGCATGTACTTTTTTTTCTGAGTGTAGATTCGTCAGGAATGGTTTGATTGCAATATTTTTGTAAAAATTCTCTTAGATGTAGGTTTTGTAACTTCTATAATGGAATATTTGTCGCAACAAGAGCTTTGCACAAGTCCTGATTAAATACCTCCTTGTCACTTTTTGTTTTGTCGGCGTTTTGAAATGACCTCACAACGCATTGTTCAACCGGTTGTGATTTCATTTTTTGCCATTTGGCTTTATGCAATGATGTTTTCACGTGTTGAACCACTTTGAACTTTTTTTCGCAAACCACTATTTTGGCACAAGCTTTACAAAAAACTTTATCCCCATTGATTTCCAACTCTGGAAAGTTAATAATCCACGAAGAAATTCTCGACATTTTAGGACACTTTCAAATTATTACAAGACTTTTCACTATGCAAATAACGAGGATACTAACTCATTAAACTGAATGAAAAACATTCAAAATATTCCGATGTTAGGGTAGATTGGTTACAAGAAATTACTGAGAATTTTATATAAACCGTTTTATTGCATTGTAAGTAATACTTTATCTGCATAAATACCATCTATTAACAATTACCTTAATGGGCTTAATCACTTAAGAAGGTAAAAACCCAGTGCATGCCACCCTCCAAGAACTAATTAACAAGAATTTACAAGAAGTGACACTAAAAAACAAATACAAAAATTTAAAAGGTCTTTACTTCAAATATATCTGTATAATCTGTTAAAACAGTTTTTGATTTGCACAGTATAGTAATACATTTTTTTTTTTCGAAAATATGCAATATTTTCTTAAATTTTCTGAACTTTGGTAAAATATGCAATATTTTCTGAATTTTGGAAAAATATGCAATATTTTCTGAACTTTGGTAAAAAATGCATATACAGTGAGCATCATAAGTCTTACCCCCTAACTAACTCGTTACTGGGGTCTTGTTAGGAAAATCGTCGAGACAGGTCGATTTTTGTTTTCTACAATGTACATTTTTGTATGATTAGTTTACCCTTAATTTCATCGCTTACTGGGGGGGGAGCAACCCTTTCGAAAAATTTAAATGGCATAGGGTGGTGAGTGATAGCTCATTTGAATGAGGGTTTTATTCTCTATTCAACAGTGTAAAAAAAATTAAAGTTTGCTTCATTACGTGTTGATTTATTAATGTTTAAAAATAACAAAACCTCACAAAATAGGAAAGCAACTAGACTAACAGTGACCTTCTAATGGCAAAAAGTCTTACTTCACGTCTGAACCAAAACCGAAATCATGCAGGGCCGAATTTTAATTCTAAGGATGAGTGCGCTACGTTAATTTCCGTTATTATGAAACAACAATTAGTCGAGAATTAATGAAGCAAATTTCAAATTTTTTTACACGGTTGAATAGAGAATAAAACTCTCTTTCAAATAAGCTATCACACACCACCCCATGCCATTTAAATTTATCGAAAGGGTTGCTCCCCTCCAGTAAGGGATGAAATTAAGGGTACACTATTCATACAAAAATGTACATTGTAAAAATCAAAAATCGACGTGTCTCGGCGATTTTCCTAACAAGACTCCAGTAACGAGTTAGATAGGGGGGTAAGACTTATGGTGCTCACTGTATATGCATTTTGCATATATTCCGCTCTCTAGTAATAACAATACAAATCAAAGATTATTTAACGAGTAGAGTTTCTAAAATTTAAAGAGTTATCATTTGCTTCATTCAAAAGTGAAAACCAATAAAATATTTACAATGGTGCCAACGATTATTTTAAAATTTATAAAAGCTTTATATCTATAAGGTAGATTGGTTGCTTTGCTGCATTTTAGGCCTCAATAGGCACATTGTGCATCTTCCAGACTCGTAGAGAACCTGGCTCCCAATTTATCAACAACCTCGATGGTTGTCGCTGAGGGCGGAGGTAATTTGCCCACAAAATATTTAAAGCTGCTAATCCTATAGGTAATTTGCCCACAGCAAGTAAAGGGTCATCTTAATCCTGTTGGTATTTTGCCCAAATTTATTTCTAACTGAATAAATCATAATAGATATATCTTTCATTTATTATTTTTTATATATTATCGAAAAGTAAAAACACATTATTAATTAAACTAAAAATTATATTAAACACTAATTTTTATTATTATAAAAAAGTAAGTATACATAAGTTATATTATATTTTTTATATATTTATATTTTATTTACATATTTTTCAACTGGGAGGGATAAATGTGATACAAATTTTATATACTCTAATCTGCTGATTTGCTGCAGATCAAATCGCTGTATAAATTTTTCTAAACACTGAATTTTTTGTTTTACACTTTTGTCTTTGATTTTCTTAGGTATACTTAAGCTTTGTATTGTGACATACGTGTCGATTTGAAAGTCTTTAAGCTTTTCTATAAAAATATATACAGAAGGATGTGTACAGTAGAATGAAGAATTAAACCTTGAATGAAACGACTCACAGGCATTTGTAGTTCTTGTAATTGAAGCTGTTTTTTCTGCCCATATACTTGGAGGAAATGTAGAAATTTCTTCAATATATGTTTCTAATAGGTAATCGGCATACCTATCGAGAACGGCATTTTCTGGTTTACTTGCCATTAAGTCAAACACAAAACAGTCTCCAACTTCATCGGCGTTTAAATATGTCAACCCAAATGATGTTTTAAGCCATTTTCCGGTCACTGTTAGTTGTATATTCAGTCATTAATCCCAGAGACTGAATTTTACGATACCACGCTTGATGTAGATGAAATCGGCAGCCATTGATTACAGTATTAGGCCACATATAAATTAACGCCTTATGAATTGCTATTTCAAAATCAACGAACACTTTAGATGGATTTAAAGCAATACTGTAAGTTTCCAAAATTTTATAATGCAATAACGAAAACAAATGTTTGTATATATCGGTAGATTTGTTTGGTAATAAACAATATACCAGGGGCACATAGTGTCCATTACACAGCCCATGAATGGTAAATAATTGTAGGAAAAACTTTGTACAATACGAAAATGTTCCATCCATATACAAGACGTTCATTTTACACAAAGTACGAATATTTGTCTCACATGTAAATACAATAATATTATTTTCTCTGCTATTTATTAAAAGAAAATGTTCACCTTTACTGGTTTTAAATGTATTAGAATATAAGTCAACTGCATCATGCACTTCTTGTATATTTGTAGGTAATGTACCTGGTAGTATTTTGCGACGACTGTTGTATATAGTTTTTCTTATGTAGGACACATCAATTGTAGTCAGTGACTCTGGTAAATTAGTAGCAAGTACTTTACGGATAATTTTAGAAGGTTTTTCCGAAATATCATCAACTGCTTTTCGCTTACACGAATTAGAAATAATTTTCCTGTTTAAATTCGGTTCATTTGCTTCATGGCTATGAATTAGGTTGCCTCTGGATACTAAAAGTTCAGGACCAATTGTAAATACAGTGGCATTACAAGCATTTGTTT